TCACAGTACTCACCTCACCTTTTCTACCTTCGTCTTTGAAACACTCTTCGGCCTCCCCCCCCTTTTGACTTTTTTCACTTTGATGTGAAGCCTGAAGCCAACTAAAGGGTTAATGATAACCATCAAAACGCCTGCCATTTGATATAAATAAATAAATTATAATTATTATTCACATGACTGCACTTGCCCTCTTATAACTATTTTAGGCAAGTTCTTTCACTCATCGTCAGAGCTGCTGAAATTCGATTCCCACACGCAGATTTTAATTTCGGCAGAAACTTAAAGTTCGTGGCAATATTGGCCTTACATTGTAGGTGGGCCTCTTGTAATCCGATGACACCAACTTCATAGTGAGTGCATTCTGCAGTGGGTTAAAGTTTCAAACCTGAACTTGTGTTTTAATTTCACTGAAAACTAACTATGACCTTAAGTCGCTTAACAAATAAGCACAGTAATCTATTGGTTATTTATCGAATTTACGCAATTCTCCCCCCCCCCCCCTATATACTTATATTGGGAAATAATTATTAAACCGATGGCTTTTTTCCTGTCCAGTTTTGTAATAATTAAATTTAACAGCTTTTCATATGCGTTCAGAAATTTTTCGACGTGTTATCTAACCAAGCAAGTGCTTAAGAAAGATCACATCTAGGTATTCAAGATTCTCGTTTGCCCCCAGAAAAATTTAAAAAGTTGCAATTTTAGTTTCATAAAACAAGTAAAATCGTTTAACAGAAAGAATAAAATATGATAGATTAGATGGAATTAAATTAAATTCCGGTTGCAAAATATTTACTAAATAGACTACTCATCTCCAATAAAATGAGTGCAGGTTAAGACCTTGTTCATATTGATTATTTCGGTGCAATTTGGAAATTAGGACTTACTATTGACTAAAGTCACAAAAAATATTGCTACATAGGTGGAAAACTTATCAGAGGAAATTAATTGTCACTAAAGTTAAGGAATAACTATACGTGGATCTGTGCTATCTATCAAGAACTTTAACGCCACTTACATATTCCTCATTCCATACTAAAGTTGACTATCACCCCAAACCTCATTATTAATTTTCCTATGTTTTCTACCTTTTGTTAATTTATCATCCCATTATCGTACTCCATCATAAAGAGCTTTGCTTTGCCATTAACCAACTTGTGTACCGCGTTTCCTCTTCATGTTATAGCACTGTCATTCGTGTCTTCATTTCTGCAACCAACGAAGGCAATTGAAACGTGACAGAGCCCAGCATTTATCTGCTAATCAATATAGTCTTCCCGTAATTCGCACGTACAACGTTATTAGTAGAAAATAACCCCAATTAAACCAATTGACACTGCTAAGCTACCTTTATAAAATCGAGATCTGAATTTCGACTGAAGTCTCAGATTGGGGGGGGGTGTGTGTGTGCGTGCGTGTGCCCTGTTTTCATGATCCCTTCCATCAAATTTCTTACTCGAAATTCAATTATTTCTTTTTAAATAAGGGGAAGAGGGAGGATCACCACTCTCGCACTGTGAATAAAAAATATGCTAATTGGGGAGTGATTTTCTTTTCGAAAAAATAACAATTCGGACTTTTGAGATCTCCTTTATGGACGCGTCCCCTTCGGCTTTCTCTCCTCTTCTAGGAAAATCATTGCGGGAAAAGGTGTTTAACACGTTGTGCTGATCTCAACAACGGAATGTTCTTTGTTTCCACTAGCCTTTCTACAATTAATAGTTATCGAGATAGTATCTCTTCTATTCCATAGAAAACTTTGGACCTTCTTCATAAAATAAGGAAAAAATATGCTGCCGATTTAATTTTCCATTGAGGTGCAAAAATGTGAAAAATTAAATCTTTTGGCAATTCTGTGGGTAATCAAATTTGCGAATAACACAGTTAACGAAAAATAGAATCCCAAAGGGAAAACTAGGCTTCTTCTTAGGTAGACTTGTTATTAAAGATTAAAAAATGATGGAAGTATGCGTCTAATTTTAATTTTAAGAAGCCCTAGATATTCAATAAGAATCATTGATTTTAAAATTGGTTCTCATTTTGACCCTGAACTAACCAAAGAGGCATGTAAATTTCATTGTGGGATAAGCGATCACTAAGTAAATCAGGTAGAACATGGGTTGTGAACATTATGATTGTGAATTCACTCACCAACGCAAAAGGTCCAATCGTTTCAATTGAAATTTTAAATAGATATGATGATATGAACTAGGCATTATTTACTTTCATACGACAGTTACACCACCACTCAATTCATGGATCATTTAAGTGTTTGCAGATGCCTGAATATGTCTGTTAATGAAAATTCCAAATCCTAATAGGTAATGTAGATTGAGTTGGCACGGGATCAGTCCGGAGTCACTTAAAAATGGCATTTTACATAGTTCTAATTACCCCCATTTTGATTTTAGGTGTGAAAATATGTTAAATATCAAAAATATCTAAAATATAGCATTGAAGAGATATTTCCTCTCCAGACCCTCAGTGGCCGCAAACTTATAGTTGCGAAAGATGGTTCAGTTTCTCAAACGATCGTTTACCTACCGAGTTCTTAGGCATAAAGCATTTCGAAGAAAATGGTCTCAAACAGGAATAAAGTAATCTCTGCATTTATTCTTAACCCCACGAAATAGTGCCAAAAAACTCTCACTACGGCCACTAAGATTGCGCTTTTACACTGACGCTTCTGATTGGTCAATGGCTCCATCAGTGTCGGAAAAACCCACTAACCCATTACACCACACGATATATTGTGTGTGTGTTGTGGATAAGACAAGCAACCCATATCACTACGAGTATGTCAAGAAAAGTCATAATTGTCGGGGATGGTATGGTGGGGAAATCCGCCCTCCTTCAAGCCTTTGTCCATGGAGCTTTCCACGAAAACTACATCCCTACAGTTTTCGAAACCACCGCGATGGATGTTGAAGTTGGAAGCGGAAAACAAGTTACACTGGGTCTATGGGATACAGGAGGGCAGGAAGAGTTTGACCAGATTCGTCAGTTGGCCTATCCGGGAGCTCGGGTTATTCTCCTCTGCTACGCAGTGGACTCGCCAACAAGTCTTTCCAATGTTGTCCACACGTGGAGTGTTGAAGTGAAGAAATTCTGTCCGCAAGTTCCAGTTCTCATCGTTGGATGTAAATCAGATTTGAGGGGATCTATGTCATTTCGAGGAAAGCTAGTCAATCCAAAAGAGGCAGTTGAAATTCAGCGGCAGATTGGTGCGAGGATTCAAATTGAATGCTCAGCCAAAACTCTCTCAAACGTTCACACAGTCTTCCAGTTGGCAGCAGAATATGTTTTACAAGGTGAGGATCTTCATGACAATCACTCTAGTAAACGAGGTCCTCAAAATTGTCTGATATCCTAGAGACTATTTTCTACTTACTTTCATTTTACTCAAACTTTACCTATGCTATCTGTATACTGAAATTGCTTCACTTTATACAGCTGGAGGATTACTTGATGAAAAAGATATTTAACGAAAAAAATAACTTATTTTAATCTTAATTTCCGAAACCCTGTAGATTCGGGGTCAGTCCATGCACACTTGATGCCTAGGTCATGGAACTGCATTTACGGTGTAGTTTAATTTTGTGTGTACCGATTGGTAGTTCCGTAAGGTTATTCTAAGGTCATAACGCTTACTTAATGATCTGTGGCATTTACCCCTATTTCATTCGCGTTTAACACGTAATTAAAGAAATAATTTATTGTATACATTTACGTATTTCGTATTTAGTAATTTACTTTTAATTGTTTTAAGTAAAAACTGAAAAGTGTGGAGTATATTATTCATTAATTTATTTTTATATTTTTATTTGAGCAATTAGGCCAAGCCCTTACAAAAGTCAATTTTAGTTGCAGATTGAATTTTTTAAATGGCGAAATAATAGATTTTTAATTATGAGATTATTTTATTACTTCGGCAGTAGGAGCCAAAGAGGAAATATCCACCCACTTGCTATTTTTACCAAATTTTGAAGTTATTGGATGATTCAGCTTCTGCAACTGTAACAGTCGACAAGTTTTCTCGTTATTAATAGTACGCAAATGCCTCCTGCATACGCGTTTGGGGAGGAGTTTATAAGCACCACAAATAAAAATTTTATCTAATGTACCTGCTTCAACCAAGTTGCCTTGTTGAGAGTGTCATATCAAAATCAAGTTTTCGCTAGGGTGGGGTGCCAATGTTTATTTATTTATTTATATATATCAAATGGCAGGCGTCTTGATGGTTTTCATTAGCCCCATAGAGGGGAAAACATCAAAGTGAAAAAAGTCGAGAGGAGGGGAACTGAAGAGTGTTTTCAAAGACGAAGGTTGAAAATTTAGAGAAAAAGTGTGATGTAGTACTGTGTAAGTGGTCAAATATGCATACTGAGGAAATGGCCGAATATGTCATACAGTGAGGTCATGGTAGTTTGAAGTCAACTACCAGTTAATAGACTTTTTTGCCGTGTGAGTATACGTTGCCCAGGGTGTACCACGTGGGGGTAAGTCTATTGCACACCCCACATTGCTATTTGGCACCACGTGGAGGTAAGTTTTCGCACAACGTGGAGGTAAGTCTATCGCACACCCCATTCATTAAATATATCACGGAGGTAAGTCTATTGCACACCCCGGGGTGCCAATGTAATATTCAATGAATTGTGAATGTGGGTAAATTTATGGATATTAGTCCAGAAATCGCCATTCTGCTCAACTTTTATAAAAAACTCAACTGTTGCGAAAGTGTTGGCTTGAAATCATTAGAATTTTCGTTACCTCACAATAGTTTATGAATTTGGAAGTAAGCAGACGTCTTAACGTAGGAGTTTCAATTGATTCGGAGGTAGAAGCACGGCATCTTTGGATATTTGAAGCCTTTAAAAGTGCTCTATTTTATTCTCAACTACTTTCGTAAATTGGTGTTTAAATATCATGGAGATTAGATGGAAACAGTGCCTCTTTATAGAAAAGATTTTCACGCTGTTGTGAGACTTTGAATGTTCCACTTTCTAAATGCTTAAGATCAAAAAATAAGTGACGAATATTTCGAATTTTCGATTGGAATGAAGCCAATTCTGCCCTTCGTATTGAAAAAAAACACTTGAAGAGAGGTGATTCAAGTGTTTCGAAGGTCTCAGCTTGTCATGCGTCCGATAATGAGAGAGCTAATGTGCGATAAACAACGCCTAAAGTTCGATAGGAGAAAAATCTTGGTACAATTACTAATAATAAGGATTTATTCGATGGCTTAATTCCCGGTTGCCTAATTCGAAAAGCTCTATATTTTTTTCGAAATTCGAAATAAGTACTAATTAATTTGTTTGAATTCTAGAAGATTTAGTTTTAGCAAACTTATCCTAATGCACCATTTTTAATTATAACAAGCTTGAAAATGAGCTACTTTTAACTTCGTAGAAATCGTAGAGCAGTATGAAAAGGAGAATTTCAAACGAGTAAAACTATCAAAGCTAGTGCATCAGTGAAATTTTGTTTCATTTGAGTCCTGCTTTCTTCAAATTATTCACTGTATTGTGTCCAGGCGATGCGAATGATGAACCTCCGTTCGGTAGTAGTCTATTTTTGTGTTTAAGTGACTTAAAGTAGCTTACTAATCCGAAATAGCACAACGTTAAGAGCCAGACTAGATTTGGCTAAATTTCCACTCCTTGAACACACCAGGCACTACGCAATAGCCTTTATCGAGTGAGAAGACTATGTACAACCAAGCGTACAAGTGACAATTGGTAGCGACTGAGAATGAGAAGAGAAGAAGTGGAAGGGTGAACTTGGAAGAAGTGGACACAATCCTAGTTGTGATCAACATGAGAAATGAGTTATGTTGGGGCACTCAGCAGATTTCGCATTCCTCGTCTGTTGATGGGCAAACGATGATTGGCACATAAAGCAGGCGAGTCAGAACGCGCAGCTACTACGTAGTAAATTGATCAGATGATCGTACAGTCTGCAAACGTTTTCCTTTTTTAAGGCTGAGAATGGGTAGGACGTATTTGGTAGAGCATGTAAATATAGAAGAACTTATGAGAGTCCATTCAGTTGTTTCTAGGAGACTATTTCCCATAGGACGCTGTGATAATCTTTTCTTCCGGTTGTCAAATTTAGCCCGTCCCACTTCGCTCCTATTAAAAGCACTTTTGGCTTGTATTGGCTTAAAATCCCAGCAAAAGGTTAAATACACTTGTTTACTTGTGCTAATCTCCTTTGGCTTGAATTAATCCAGCCCGCCAAGTTACATTTTGCCGAGGTGGATGGCAAGCCTATACATTGAAGTTTACGAAATTTCAGAGGAAAAACACATCTCCCCAATATAGTACGTTGAAGGAAGATGCAATTCTTGCTCTATTCGCCGCCAAGGTAACCCTTAAGACCAATTCTAGCAGTTAGGAAGATTAAAAATACTCAGTGTCTATTTATTTTCCCTAGGTTGTATCTTAATTTTACTGCCCAAGACAAAGACCTGAAATTGTGGGCCTGAGTGGTAAAAAGTGAAAGCTAATCTATATTGGGCTAAATTTTGAAGAAAGCCCTCCTGCAAATTGGTTCATAAAGTGAGAAGAAGTCGCACGAAAGCAAAGAAAATAAAGTTGGCACATCAAAAGATGTAATTTTAATTCATAAAGTTGATTTGTTTACATTAAAGGCGGCATTATTCACTTCACCCCATTCTAAGTTAAATTATTTAGGGTTTGATACTGCCAGCAGCCTAAAATGAATATTTTCGGCTCACCTTCATGAAATACTCCAACTTCATCTCTATTGCATCAGATTACTTAATATTGGATTTTACCCACATTCATAAAATATGTTCAATTTCATCGATTTCTTAATAAAATCACTGTTTGAGCTTCACGTTGTCTTCCTTCTTTTTTTGCGTCTGAATAGTCGCCGCTGTGTGGAAGTGGACATCCGCGCGTTTAGGCTCTTGAATAAATTCATGCTCATGATTTTCATAGGAAATTTACCATTAAGTTCAATTAGGTAATCTGTGATGCTTGAAATGCCTTATCTGGCCCTATCAACCAAGTGGTGGCTCCAGGATTTTAAGAATATACTGAATTCATACAGGGTGGCATCATCAGTATTTTTGACTTTTGAAGTAAGGAATGCACTGAACCACCATCTTAATTACTAAGTAGGCCAATAGGTAGTGAACACAGTGAGTACGAATTGGTTCAGTAATCATGAGGATGAAGTAAGACAGTAAACAAATCTCGGAGTCAATAATCAAAGCAGGGGGAGGGGGTGCGATAGACTTACCTTCACGTGGTACACTCTGAACAACGTATACTCATACGACAAACAAGTCAATAAACTGCCAGTTGACTTCTGACTTCAAACTACCATCACCGCATTGTATGTTATATTCCCCCACTTTCACAGTACTCACCTTACCTTTTTCTCTACGTTTGTGTCTGCCTGTCTCTTTTACATCTGCGAATCATTCTTCTGTTCCCCCTCTCTAATTTTTATCCCTTTGATGTTGAAATGAGTCAAAATAAAAATAGAATAGGGAATTCTTACGGCCAATTATTTACTAGGTGAGATCAACTAATATTCCCATTATAAGTAAATGGAGATATAGTGGCTGAGATGTAAGGCATTCATTAATACGCTAATCTGACGAGAAGGAAGGTTATGCACTTTAGAATTTCGTTGATTTACGGCAAACTAGCTTACAATTTGTGTTTAAGTATTTGCATATTAAGGAAAAAAATAGCCTTTCCCCTCAATGGAAGGAGCTGACCATTGGTGTGACATTTAGTTTAGGAACTTGTGGTTCCTTCAACTTAACAAGTTGGAAGATGAAGTAATGAACAGGAATTCCATTTTCTATTACGATTTATGTGCGCGCGCGTGTGTGTGTGTGCGTGTGCCTGAATCCACACGTGATCGTTATCAATTTTGCGCAGATCGAAGTAATTAGAGCATTTTTACCTTATTGATTTCTCTAAAAAAATGTCACCCCTGAGTAACCGAAATATACGCATTAACTTTCGCACACCCTACGTTTAATGTGGTAGTTAAAAACGCTTTACTGGAGTCTAAATTAAGTCAAATCCGGCCCGCTCAGCTGTATCAAAATCCAAGGCGGTTCGTTTCCCCATACTCTCAAGGCCATTGGCAGAAAAAATCGGACATTTTTTAAAAGGAAAAATAAAGTAAGCATGAAGAATCTATTAACTCTTATATTTACAGATTGGGTTTGTCATGTAAAGGGTACGCTTAGGATAAGAGGAGCAAAAATTTCAGTATTGGATTTACCAGGAAATGGGAAAAAATTGTGAAATTTGGAAACCGTTGTTATGAAACCCACTACTTCTGACAGAGTTTTATCCATTAAGCCTTCATGGCTTGGGAATTTCGAAGTACATTTTTTATAGTGTAGGAGGTGGTAGGATGATTGGAATTCAAGCAAATTTAGCATAACAATGGGATGACAACTTTGACTATATTTCAGCTTTACAATTGCTAACAAACATCTGCATAGTTAAAAACTACTGTTTCATCCTCCAGGTCTTCAGATTTAATATTTTAATTAATTTAATTTAATTTATAGGTAAATTGTTAAACATCTTAGAGTTTGAGCTTTTTTAAGCTGGTTTAACTTGCACTAATTGGCAAAGTGAGTTCACGTCCTTAAGATAATAATTGTTCCAGTAATTATGTGGAACTTTATCTATGGAGTTGGGGAAATTCGCTTATTTACCACTCATCTCAGATGGGGGAACATGTGCTGACTTATGCAATTTTATTTTTCAGAAATAAATGTTTTGCCTCTGGGGATTTCCTTTACGAGCCATAAAAGCACTATTATACCGTGTCTTAGGTGTACATTGAAACGTAGGCCATAATTAAGACTGGTTATATATCTGTGTGAAGGAAAATGACGCCACTGTTGGCCTACAGTTTTATATCTACCCGGGTGTAGTGGACAGACACTTCCAATAAAACAATTAATCACCTTTTACAGCAGGATAACCATGTATGGGAAGGTAATCAATGCATGATTCATCTGTTCTCACACACGAGTCTGATGGCTTGATGAAACTATGGCAGTGGCAGATATTATGCATTAGAATGCTCTTGGAGTCTGGCAAAACAAGGTATTTAGCCTCGGTGTTTATGCTTCATGCGGGTATAATCAAGTCACCCGGGATGCCCAAAAGTTGACTTTTGTCATTATCATAACAATGACAGTTTACTGGTCGGTCCAGAAGGATTCTGATCTCTGGACATTGATAGCATTAAGACAACCTTCTTTCAATAACACATGTTGCTCTTCACGCATTCCGTCTTAACCTCTCTCTCTCTCTTTTTCCCTATAGTCTGCGGTAGCTGTCGCCTGGTGATATTGTAGAAGGCTCTCAGCATATGCAAGCTCTTATTATACAGGGTTGATTCCGGAAAAAGAGAAAAATCAGAAAGTAGTGAGTGAAAACCACTTTAAAGTAAAGTGGAACTATGCCATTTTTAATGATTACTCAAAATCCATGATCATTAAATAAGTGCATTGAGCGTTTCTTTAGATTAACGTTAAACGCTTTTTAGCTGAGAAGCCCCGGCCCCATTTCGGACACTGAACACACACGATAATTTTGGGGAGACTTAGCCTTCAATATATGGCTTGTAGGCTTATCATAGAGGCAGAACCATATTTCCTACTAGGATAGAATATCAATGCTCTTGAAAAGTAGTCAATTAAGCAGTTGGCACAAGTATGAATGCAAATGTAAGCAAGCGAAGATGGAAGGGAATAAACGAGAAAGCATTCAAAATAGGAGTATCAATTCACAAGATAATGCTGTCATTCACCCGAATTGCTCGACCATAACTTAAAAATCCAACAACCAGAAAATTACTTTGAATCCGAGAATTTATAAGAATGTACTGATAATCCGGTGTTTAATTTGTAAGGATATAATGCACTACCGATGGTTTATTAGTAGGGAAATAAAATTAAAATGGGCGACTAATTGTTACAAGTAAATTTAACCAAAGATGAGTTAGCCTAACCATGGTGAAAAATTGACTGATATAAAGAACCCATTTAGCGTATTTAATATTTGTAGATCATACCCGTTGAGGTCGATCACTAAAACAGAACTTGTTATCAAGCTTTAGTTTTTAACTGTGACATGTCAGAAGTTTTGGTTAAGTTTAGAAGAAAATAGTAATACGGAGCACTATCTTTAATTCGACAGAAGAAAAGTAAATCCGAGTGCTACAAAGAGATTACCGTTCATTAATAATATCAAATACAGTTTAACGAAAAGCTTACTATAATGCGATGAAAAGATGCAACTTCTCCTTAATATTGAACCTGAGGACTAAATAAAGCATTCGCAAAATGTTGGAGGTGGCGGCGGGCGTGCGAAGGACTGATAAGCTAATCAACATTTATTCTCTTTCAAGTTATGCTAGATTTATTCATTTACTGATTATGTCTGTCGTGAGTATAAAGTTTAATAAACATTATACTCGCTATACGCTTGCTTCTTCTGTTTCATTTAGACAGTTTGACTCATTCTGGGAGCCATTCCATAGTAGGATATTTTACCACAGGGATTATGGAGAACGAGTCCAGGCTTATTCGTGTTGCAAGCCGCTACAAAGTCCATTTGCGTAAGGGTTAGCGACTTATTAAAAATGTCACAAGAAATTTTGTGATATCTTTATAAACTGTGGTTGAAGAATCAAATGTTGCTCTATGGTAAGGATGAGGAATAAATCGTTTTCCTACAAATCATTGACTAAAAACATAGCTCTTGTCAGTTGTGCTGGAATATACTGTTAAACCATTAATAATTGAAACTATGATAGTATAATTAATTATTTAAAGGTCAATATACCTAAAAATATAATTTCCAAATTCGTCATGATATTTGATGTCATTTCATATTGTAAATTACTAAACTGATGCAAACTTAGCAAATTTAGGGGTTTTGGTTTTGGGTGACTAACCCATATGGTTAATATGCTAGCTATTATTTTATCTATATTATCGGGTATCTTGGCTGCATCATCTGCAGCTTGGTCAAAAGTAATCCAACAACCAGATTTTGATTTTTTTGGATATAAGAATGCATTTTCCGAAAGTGCCAGATCTGTTATTCAATTTGGTATGTTTGTACTTGGTAATATCCTAATGTGGATCACGTTTGTAACGGCCTTAAAAAAGAGCTCCAATGTGGTAGTTGCTGTTATCTTGAACAACGTTACAAATTTATATCTTTCTGTAAGCCTTAATTCTTAATTGCCTGATTTTGATAAGGCTTTCTATGGATGGTGGCTATGCCAAGAAACAATATCGGTAACATGGTTCATTGGAGCAATTTGCCTAACTATAGGCTGTTGTCTTATGCATTCAACTTCTAAAGAGTTAAAAACGGATTAGACTAGTATTCTCAATATTTATCTGTGATGCCACATATTTCCTTATGCCTTGTTTCTTCATATTTACTTTTATACTATCTAATATTATATGTTTTCACTACTAAAGCATTTTTGACTTTTAAACTGGTTTTGCTTGACCCAGAGTAGCTACTTTTGACATAATTCTGCATATTGTAGTTATACCATGATTTATGTTAGATTTACGAAAATCTTAAATCGTCAATCATTCTTGAGACACGCTTTGTTTGATCAAAATTTTTAATTTTACCTATAGATCAAAATGCTAATCGAGCTTGATAATCCAAATTCCCTTTTTCTAAATTGTAATGTCTTTTAATCTGTCCATTTGCTCATCCAACTTATGCAAAGTTATTTAGTTTTAGAGGTAGGTAGTTAGTAAAATTGGTTAATTTTGTAACAGTACTTTGGAAAAAGAATTAGTAGGAGAAACTTTTATTCTAAGTTGTTTAAGCATAATAGATTTCTAAGTTCTCATAGATTAATCTAGCATTTCCAACCGTTAGACCTAAGTCTATCGATCCGATCCATCATGCATGAGACTTCGCTTATCTTGCACTGCAATTCTTTCCATAATTCTTCAATAGTTTTGCAATTTCTCCTCTCGCAACACCCATCACAGCAGCAACATGGCATTACATCGGGTTCGCAGACCCTTCGAATTCGCCGGAAGTCGCAGTCTATCAGCTCACGGCTTTTCGAGATGGCCTCCTTGATGTAATCAATAACTAAAATGAAATCCGTTATTAGATCTTTTATAACTACCCGTTCTACTTTCATATTATAAGTAGGCATTATGTTGTTTTATTTCTCGCCTTACCGTCACAACTCATCATGCATTCACATGATGCCAGATCCATTTCACATTCAGAAATCTTGTTCCACAGATCATTTTCTTTTCTTTCAATTAGCCGAAGATAGTAGCTAGCATCAGGACAACTTCGAGTGCATGAAAAACTTCTCATTGGTAAAGCTCTTCGACGCCTTGTTGTAATTCGTTCAACGCGACATGATGTTGTCTCGTAGCGTTCAATTTTTGGACAGGGGGAAGGAGATTGGCATGGATTTGCTTGGCAGCAGAAATCCGTTGCACAAGGTTTTAGAGGAGGACAACAGACTGGTACCTAATTTATTGTGATAATACAAGTCAAAGGAAGACATTTTGTCAAAATAGGTTAAGGTTTGCACAAAGTCCAGATTCTGTTTGGTTGTATTTAAGCGATTTACTAATATTGATAAACTACGGCATAGGTGGGGCAAGTGAACGAAATCGAATCCAATTAAATGCTAGATGCTCACCTTGCAGCATGGAATAGCTTCGCATTGAGGTTCTGTATTCGTGCAACTTTCGACGCAAGTTTTAACCTCGCAGGGACTGCAAGGGACCATTACAGGTGGTTCTATTAGTGGAGGAGGTGGAAATTTGATATCACAACAAGTGGAACAATTGCAAGAGCAGGAGACGTCGTTTGTAGCTGGGCAGCACACACATGGTTTCAAAATGTGTGAGTATTTCAAATTTCCGCGCGGTTTCGGAGCACAGGGGGGTGGTAAATTACATTCACAGTACACAGATGTTCCAGCTGATTTGGAGGGTAGCGATGCTGCTACTATGGTTTCACACATGGGAGAATTTGATCGAGAGTAAACACGAACTAGGCTACTTGAACGAGATAGTGGTGAAGTGCAGCGATTTGCACACTCTGAAGGACAAGGAGAAACTGGTCTGAGGCAAGTTGAGCGATCTGAACTGCAAAAGCGCACGTTTCGGTTGGCTGATGGACTACGACATGTCCTTATTGGCGAACGATGACGGCTGTGCATATCCTAAATGACATGGTTATTGAAATATTATAAACTTTGTTCTGAGTTAGCTCTTTATCTAGTTTGTTTGAAATAAATTCACCCGGTTATTCAAGTCATGTTGCCTAATCGCAAGATGAGTTAGAATAGAAAGTTCGGCTAGATATGCATTGAAAAACGTAATGTGGTGTTGAAGAGAATGAGCTTGAAGGATATGCCAAATTCTTGGGTCTTTGAAAGTGGGTGTAATCAACCCAAATCAGAGCCTGAGATTACATTAATGATAGACTCTCGCATCCAATCTTTTGGATCCACCTTAAAGGTGTACATCGACATCCATCGATTTTCGCAATCGATTAGCGTACATCCGTTTCGATGGCTAACGATTCGACTAATTAAATCTCAAAGTATACCTCCTCGCTTGCACTTCGCAATCGAAAGCGTATTTTTGACTTAACCTCTTATTAAAAGATTACATAGCTCTCGAACATGTAATGGCTCTGAAATGAAATCAAAATTGGAACTGGATACAAGTAAATCTTAGATTTATTCCATTTCATCGGTAATTGAAATGAAAGCTTTTTGAGTGAAATATGAAAGAACCAACCAGCTTTAATTAATAGAACAAAATATTAATAATGAAATAGTGCAAAAACTTGCCTTAAGTATAAATGGTGAAGAGAGGTAGATACCAGAATCACCAAAATTGCAAGTTTGACAACACACAGAGGTAGTATCAGGCGGTGGAGCTGGGGTACATCCATTATCCAACGGTCCAATTCTTCTGACAGAATGAGTTCTGAAAAGTGTTACTTGGGATTGCTGAGGAGCTTGAGAGCAGATCCTCTCTCTTGTGCAATGTCCATCAACTCGACTACGTCGACTATTTGTGGAAACTTGGGCGCAATAGGGGCAACAACAGGTTGTTAGAGGCACATGCTGCCATTCACTCATCCTACTTCTGAGAAGAAGAAAGCTCTATCATCTCCTTAGCGAAGCTTAGCTTCCTTTTTATAACCACTTTGCGTGGAAAGTTGAAAATTAAATTTCTCAACCTTTAAGCCTTTGTCCGAAGTTATGTCCTATGACGATGAGAATATTTACCTATTTGGCGCAGTTACGAATGAAATCGTACAAATTGCTATGTGATCATGTGAATATATTCTAAATATAGGAACGTACATGAGATAACTTTGATTTAATTCACAAGAATTAAGGTTAATGCCAATAAGAATAACTTTTTTTTAATAAACTCTTTTTTTAACAGAATGCCATTGGTGAGATGCCAACTTATTGCTGTAAAAGCGGAATTAAGAACGAAATCGTAATGAAGAACGAAGGGCGCAAATATAATGACAGAATGAATGTAACCGTGTTTTGAAGTTCAGCATGGTTCTGGTATCATTCTTAAACGTGTTTAAGATCAAAGAACTACAAAGTTATTATGTGGATTTCAATAGTAGGAGGTGCGACTTGAGTCATCTCCTCGATCTATCAAAATACCGAGTAAATAATTCCATCTTCAAATGGAAAAATCGAATCTACGGGGGACCGTTGAGGGGACCGGGGACATTGGAATCCCCATTTAACCCATACTCACCCCATTCCTTAAGTTTAAATCACTTATCTATCGCCAAATTTCCTTTTGCTCTACAATTTCACATCTTTATCTAACCCACATTCTGTTCATTTGCGGTAAATTGTTGAAAAAATCGTATTTATTACAATGTTTTCAAAGTATGAAGATACGAGTGAAGTTAACATTCAATATTGCTGTTTATACAAATGGACTTGACACCTATCTTCTCATTAGATCGAATTCGAAAACTAATGAAATGAAAAATATGAGTGCAGTCCTTCCCAACTCCCCCCCCCCCCTCTTAATCTCTCCGAAAAAATGATCCCCGGCTATATTAGATTACTGAGATAAAGAACGAAGTCACAGATCGAACTTATAAGGAATTTTCGTGTTTCAAGAGCGAGGTTACCTTATTGTGCTACTCGTTCGTATTGAAAGTTCATAACTTGTCCACGGAGTGCGAGATAGACTTACCTGCAGGTGGTGCATTCTGGGCAGCGTATACTCATATGGCAAGGAAAGTCAATTAACTGGCAGTTGACTTCTGATTTCAAACTACCAACACCCCACTGTATGCCATATTCGACTGCTTCCTCAGTACTCACCTCACCTTTTTTCTACCTTTGTGTCTGTCTCTTTTACATCTGTGAGTCATTATTCTGTCCCCCTCTCGACTTTTTATCACTTTGATGTTCCTCTTTCTCTCTGTAAAGCCCGAAGTCAGTTAAAGAGCTAATGATAACTATCATAAAGCCTGCCATTTTATATAAATTGTTTTAGCCACATTCACGTTTATAATTGAAAATTTTCGAATAAATAAACTATATGAAAATATTGGCCGTTTTTCTAATCAAATTCTAATGTCTGTGAAAACTAATCGGGACTCTGACTATCATTAGGAAGAAACTAAGCTATCTCACCCTTTTAACTTGCTGTTATTAAAAGTTGATAATCATGGGGTTACTGATTGCTTTCGACTACTTATTTAATTTCAGTAAGTTGGATTATTAGAAAACTCATGAAGGTCGAGATATACTAGGGACCTTAAGTAGCATTTATACCGAATATGAACCACTTAAAAATACATCAAGCTTTGTTCATCAAATAATCAGTAACAAGGCACAATGACCAAAGATAGGTGAAAACAAATACTTACGTCACCCCATTGTGTTCTTGAATTATACTATCAAGCCATCATTCTCTTTTTCAAAGAGCATATATTTGCATTTTAAGTTTACAGCCGAATACTGTGGAAACCATGGTGAGCAGCGGGAACTAACATTAAATGATGCCAAATGAACCGTGGTTTACTAGATAATGGTGAGGAGTTGCGATTATCAATACATTGCACAAACAAGAAATCAGATAAAAACGCAGAATTTATTAAGTTATGCAATAAGTCAACTCACAAGTTATTTACAAAATTTAAATCAACTACTAAGATCAACGATTCTTGATTTACCAATGCACGGCACAGATTTTGAATCCTTCAACTCTTCTGAAGGCGATTTTGCCTAATAAAGCCATAATCTAGTTTATAAAATTGACTTACGACAATGGATAGAGCATGTAGACCACTATCAAATTCATGTTGAAGTGCCTTCTTGATTAACCGATGTCGCTAAGAATAAAATCATGAAGCCGTTGCAAAAAAATAAGCTTACTGTAACATCTCCAATGTTCTCAAAATCCTTCGAAACAATAGAGATCCGAAAATGAGATTCATTGCCGATGTTTGATGAATGGTTGTGGCTTTCGTTAACGATATTTAAATGAGAGGGCTATAGATTTAGCTATTTAACGAAAAAAATGACAAACCTTGAAAAGAGCAGTAAGCTTTTCTTTAATAGCACTATGAATTGGACCTACATTTGAGCAAAATGTACGCGAAGTGGCGAAACGAGTAAACTTGATGAAGGACATTAAAATTATATCAATCTAAAAGTTGAAACAATAACTTAGGTTTTAATGGCAACAATACATGTCGCAAAATTTTTAACTGAACCTTCGACAAAATGTCAATAAAATAGCTTGTGTAAACGTGTGGGTGCAAAGCAGAAGGCTTTTATTGCAAGAAATAAGGTCTTAACAATTGCTCAAATTTCTAAAACTAGCTTTACATCATTGTTAAAAACAATACAGAAGAAAATAAAATCAAATGAATGATACCGAATGCTATTTTTAGAAGATATGAACCTTAATTTCTAAATTTTATGTTATTACTCACCAAGTAGCTGTATTTGACCTTAAACGCGTATTTGAAATTGATTTTGGAGCTTATTTTTTCGCGATGGCAGGAGTATTCAATATTTTTGGATCTCGCCATAACTCCGAAAGAACAGTTGTAGCTTTTGATTCACTGAATAGGTATTTTTAGTTTTATTAATTATCGTTTTTAGCCGAATTTTGACTGCAAGTACTGATGGCAAAATTCGGGTCTACAATGACAAAGATGATCCTAACCCCATCGAATCTATTGTGGGAGAAAATGTTAATTGTCTCATGTGCAAAGTTAGAACTTTCGTAAATTTTTTACTGTTAGGATGACGATGTTATCGTTGGAACTGAGAGCTCCAATGTTTATATCCAAAATATTGAAGAAGGTTTACTTGTTGGAGTTGCCACGAGATTTACAGCTGGAGTCAGCTGTTTAGCTTTGAGTAAAGACCACTCTCATCTTCTTGCTGGCAGCAGGTAATAAGAGAGATTTCATTTATGGCTTAGTGATTTCACGTTAAAACTGATCGATTTAACTGGCCAGGATGACGCATCCCGTGAAGTTCTTATTCGTGGTCATGATGGACCTATACTTAGTGTCGACATGGATCCTCTTGAAACTTTCGCAGCTTCTTCTTCTTGTGACGGAACTGTCAGAGTTTGGAGACTGAGCGATGGATTGGAGGTTAAGAAGTTGTTCATCCTTCCGAAATTCGCTGACGTTGAGTCTGCAACTTCTCGATGCAAATTAAAGTTTGAGCCGACACAAGGCGAAGTAAAGACTTAGAATTTACATAATGTTCTAACTTAAACAGTATTTAGCTATTCCCGTTGGAAACGTTGTTCAGCTATACAGTCGAAATGAATGGAAGATTTGTCGTATTTTGGAACCTTCCATCTCGAGTGCCATAACTGAGTTGGAATTTTCTCCCAATTTCGTCCATTTGGTTGGTCTGAGTTCTGATGGTTGCTTGACCATTTGGAATCCGGAAGATAAGACTATTTTAACGACGTAAGGTCTGGTAATTTTAAACGTATCTTTTTTACTTCGCTTTTAGAATAAATAGTAATGCTCTTTCCAATGTCTGCTGTTTGATTTGGCCACAAATGCATACGATATTCTGCACGGACATTTTTGGCGCTGTTGGCTATGTTGATATTGATATACGTTCTCTTCAAACGGTATGCTTGGTTGAAATTACAATTCATGTTTCTTTACTACCGTCGAGTTTTCGTTTAAAGATTACCTTCATTTCTTTATCGGTATAGAAGTATATTTGCACTAACACACGGTTTGCCTCTAATATTAATCTCTAGTCTAATGGATGTGTTGAGAAGTTATTTCATTTACCATGAATTGAGGTATTTGAATGTTTTGGCCTCTACCATGTCGATCTTCTTTGCTGCAATCTCATTCAAGCGTCACCAGGTTCTGCTTCTCACACCCCAGTGTGGTTTTTGTCAATGTGTGTGTGTGTGTGTGTGTGTGGGGGGGGGGGGGGCTGACGATTTAAGGAATTATAGCTAACCTTTAAGTGCCAGTATATAGTGAAGTTGTGCTCATTTTAATTCTTCTTGGATTATCTTAGCTGCGTTGTTTTTCCTAAAGGTAACATTTGTGTATTAGTTATTTTCGTTCCTTTTTTTATAAGCCTATAGAAGTTCAATTTCCTTCATGCTTACAAACAAGTATGTCCAAATTTAAGGATCATGCTAGCTCTGAGATCTTTGCCAACACTGCTCTAACCACGGAGGAAATCACCGAGCTCTTTAGTAATGCTGACCCTGAAGTGCTGGACGACTTGGCCCAAGTTGCCGCTAATCAAGCCCGAGAAGAAAAAGCGAAAAGCGCCGCCGCCGCTTCCTTCGCCACCACCACCGAACAAGACGATACCGAATCGCACAAAGGACGTCACGGTCAACGTTTAAATTTCTCAGATGACGACGACGTTGACAATATTCGGCTTGAAGATGATGACGATGATGATGATGACCCTAACACAGTGGCCCTCTCCAAAATCAAGTCCTCGTTTATGAAGACCTTAGATTTAAGTGATGAAGAAGAAGAAGATGGCGAAGGGAAACCTAAACAGATTGAAAAAGTGGTAGTTGAAAGTACTGCCCCTACTCGATCAATTGTGGAGGAAAAGATTCGATCTTTTCAGCCTGGTTCATCACCTGAGGGTTTTAGAGAAAGATTTCTGGTGTGGAACCACGTTGGAGTAGTGATTAGGTTTGAAAATGAAGTAGACGAGGAGGACACGGTGGATGCGTCAATTGAAGTGGAGTTTCATGACACAACCTTTCATCATACGATACACCTGAAGACGGGAGATTTCACTATGGCGGACTTGAGTACCACGGCACTTATGCTGGCGTCAGCCGTACGTTGCTTTATTTAATTAATAGCTTGATTAACAAAGCTTACCTGTGACGAAGGAGGCAATACAAAATTTGATTCTTGAGAAAATATTAATAAATGGGGCTTTAGAAGCAATTAAAAGAATATCTGAGAATTTTGACTGCAAGTAAGGCAAAGAATCTATATCTTTACCGTGCCTGGATGCATCAGGTAGTCTATGGACTAAATTTCTCTATTTGTAATATCCTCCATTGTCACAGTGCAAAAATCTGAATAATCCGATTTCATGTGATTTCCCGTCTCTTTTCCGACGCCTTTGCGTCTTACAATTTGCGCGTTTCTTCATACTGCCATTGTAGTTGATGTTCTAGGGAGAGCGGTAGTTGATTTTTATTAGTTTTTTTTCATCAGTCATTTCCACGTCTGCTTTGACCTTCCTAACCCAGTTCTTTTTGTAATGGATTAAATGTTTATAACTCAGAAATTGATTATCTAATTGTTGGCTTGGTTCCTCGGAGCGATCAGCTTTCTTGAAACTTTTAATTGTAAGCTTAGTCGCTCTTTAGAATCTGTTATTTGGAGAACAAATCGAACTCTACACTTTTTTAGACTCTCACAATACTCATACCCAGTTAGGCTTAGAAGTAATCTTCCTAAAGACCTATCAGCTTTTCCCGAAATGAGATGATCCAGAGTTATATCAAATGCCAGGCTTTATTATGTTTATCATTAGCTCTTTAATTGACTTCGGCCTCACAGAGGGAACAGACAAAGCCACAAAATTCGAGGGGAGGGGGGGGGGGGAAGAATGATTTACACATTCAAAGAGGCAGGCACAATGGTAGAGAAAAAGGCAAGGTGAGTACTGTGGAAGTGATCGAACATATACAGTGGGGTCATAGTGGTTTGAAATCAGAAGTCAGCTACCGGTTTATATACTTTATTAGCGTATGAGTATGCTTTATCCAAGATATTACACTTAGAGGTAAGTCTATCGCACACTCCATTTCTGGTTACAGATCTCTGTTTGACAATCGTGAGGGTACTGGGAGGTTAAGTGGAAGAGGAAATGTCAATACCTATCGTTTACAATCCCAATCTTGAGAAAGTGGGCTTATTGATGTACGATGAGGGAATTGATGGATTTTACATAATTTGTTTGTTGTTTTGAGAGGTAATTGGATAGCAAGGTAACTTAGACTCCAAGAGAACCCATAAACTCAGTAATTTCCTTTCAGGGATCGAGTGAAGCTCCTGCAGAGGATTCTGAGGAGCAAGCTCCCAATGAAGCCGATCTCAGTACTATCGTAATTCGACCCCTGGGGACAGGAGATCTAGGATCCGATACCAATTCCGACTGGTCTGCTCGCTTGCCCAAAGGCGAGGTCTGTAGATCGGTGTGCTTATTGCCTGGTGACGACTGCGGTTCCAACGGTTTAGCAGTTGTCGCGACTTCTCTCAGACTACTTCGCTTCTTCCTCCAACCATCATCTTCAGCTTCAGGATCTGGTGGTGTCCTCCAACTCATGCAAGCCACACCTCTCGGTCTTCCGCCAATTAGTTTACCTGGAAAAGACATTGTAACTATGGCCAGTCATCCAACCCTCCCCATTCTCGCCGTTGTGATTGGCTGGAGTAATGAGGATCTATACTGGCGTGTTTACCACTTATCAACCAATCATGGTGCTCCGAAGGGGTGGCTTCTTGGTAGACTGAGTTCGACATTCTACCCTCTTCCAATCTCTCCTTCTGCTCATCTCTCATGGTTGGGCTTTTCTGATGCTGGAAATCTTTACACCCACGATTCTGTGGGTTCTCTTAGAAGGCTAACACACCAAGGGGCTACAGATTTCCATTGGATACAGACATGTGATACCCGGAAGTGCATTAAATCACGGGCCCGCTCCACAGATTGTTTCTTTATCGTTGGCGTCACTGAAAACGCTTACCAACCACTAGGTGGAATGAAAATGAATAAAAATCTCTTGGATGATGAAGAAGAGTACGTAGACAATAACTTCCAGAAAGCAAGGGAAGATGAACTTGGATTTGGGCAGGTTCAGGCAATCTATTGTAAAGCTTCCCGGTGGCCTAGACCTGTTCCAAGACCGATTGTCTCCACACTGCCATTTAGACTACCACTTTGTGGTGTATTGCAGAACGATCAAGGCAGCTTGGAAGAGAATTATCTTCGAACTATGGTATTGGATCAGAAGCCATTCTGGGGTGTGCCAGATGAAGATCTTGCTGAAAACCTTGAAAATGATCGTCTCAAGGCTAGAAGGAAGACATTGCTTCGTCTGTTTGCTGTAAGTTGAGCAACTTCTCATTCGAGCCTTCATATTGGTTATGTCCCTTATTGGATTTATGTGGTCCATTTTGGGTTTTATAGCATTCGTTTGTAATCTTTTTACTTTATCTGAATGCTTTTTTAAACTTGTCTACCTTCTAGAGTGCTTTATCAGACGTATTAATCAAAATTCTGCCAAGAATAAGCTTCTAAATTAACCCGTTCTTTGATGGACTATTCATTCGTGTCAGTAGTTCATTTGATTTTTGAAGTAAATGCCAAGTTCTTTGATGGAAGAAGTTCTCCAAAAGTAATTTTTTAGGGAGTGGTTGGCATCCTGATTCCCCTCACATGGGAAACTCGCTTCCCTCTCTCCGGTTAATGGTAGCTAATACTTAACGCACATACTTCTAGTATTTATTAAATATTCTTAGTTTTGAGGTTGCCAACAATTGTTTGGACTCATTTGTTGTATATATTCCAGTTTCTAATGATTCACTCACCGGTAATATTAGAGGCTATTGGCATAAAGCATAGATGAAGCCAAGAAATCCGTACGTAATTTAATTGAACACGGCCTCGTAAAATCTGCGTCCCTGGCGATCTATCGGTGGTAAAATGGCTGGTTACCTTAAATCTCTTTTAATCGGATGAATTCCTTTAACAACAGTATCAATTCAATATAGGCTTGCGTTACTGTGGTTTAGCTGCAAAGCAAGGTTAAATTCTAGCTCTCTGCGTCTTTCTTCCCCTCTTTTTGAAGATGGCAGCCAAGTTGGAAAGCGACTGGGCAGCGTTGGCTTTGGTGTACATGATGCCTGACGTGGCTACAGTACGCTACGCCATTCGCTACGCGGCCAATGTGAACCGTCAGGGCCTGGCTCAAAAGGTCGGCCAAATCGCCCTGGAAATGGAGGAACAGGAGGAGCGGCAACAGGCTGTTCGGCAACAAGTGCAGGCAGAATCAGCTGAGGAATCATCTGTAGATTATGAGAAGGAGAATGAGGAGGAAAGTCAGCAGTCTGGAGAGGAGGTTGGTGACGGAGATGGTGACGATGTGGCGGAGATTCTAGGGTGAGTTTGTTACACACCACTAATGGTATTTCTGTTAGGTGTCCTGAATTGCTAACCGAAAGAATGCAATTTTTTTCATAAAAACTCTAGAATGTCTTCCTTCTACCCAGAGTAGTTGTTGGAAGGTATTTGGAAATTAATTAATATTTCTGGAATGAGAATGATAGAGAAAAATGGATAAAATATTAACCTTCCAGGGCTTTTGAACTTCTTCGAAACAATTAGATTTAAATGCCAACCGAATGCGATATATTAAGCTACATCAAGTAATATTTTTTGATTATCAAATTAGTCAATTTCCTCAAAATATGGTCATTATATATAATCATAAAATAACATCTTTTCTACGTTTTTTTACAGTGATGATGATGATGATGATAACGTGAACGACGAAAATACGGATGGAGATCATATTGATCATAATACAGAGGACTACTCATTTGATCTACCCTCCGAGATTACAAATTCCACTTCCCCGCCCACCCAATCACTGGACACCTCCAGGGCAACACGATTTAATCCATTTAGGGTATGATTTTATTTCCTGTGTTTTTCACATCTATTAAAGTTCTCCAGAAGTTCGTATTTTCTCTATTTAATTTGTTGTGTAGAGGAATAGTAATGACGAGCCTAAACAGCAAATTGGAGGACGGGGAAGTTGTGCCCTTGATAAGCTTAAACCACCCCCTCCTAAATCTACCCAGTCGGCCAAAAGAAATATGCCAGCTCAAGGAAGAAAACCTGCTGCCACCAAGGTAAAATTAGTTCAGCATTCATCTTTTTGTCTCCTTATAATTGCATGCCTCTTTTTTGCTTAGGTTCCCAATAAAACCGTCTGTAAGCCGAGAGAGACGGTGAAACGTCCTGCTTCGGACTTTCCCCAACGCGCAGCTAAACGGCTTTCAACGTTTGAATTTCACCAGAAGCAATGAATTATCAGATTGGAATAAAGAACGAGGGTTGAATGAAAATATCTTGAAATGATATACTTGTAAACTTTATTTATATCATGTAAAAGAAATAAATTTATATTTTTTAGCTTTGGGTTTCCAAGACTTTAGTCCCATCTGAAAAATTGTATATCAAACATTCCATTTTCGGTCGATTATCGTATTTTATCAATCTTCTTGACTTTTGTCTCGTGACAGACTTGTAGTCTGTCTGGTTAAAAATAATTGTAGCACGAATTCATTCAATAGTTGTACCCGGAGGTGAATTTTCAATTCTAGTTGATAATACGATGCGCGAGGGATAAGGCATATGGGTACCGCAAGGTGAATCTTAAACATCTGGTTCACTTTTAATTTGACTAAGGGTTTGTAACAAACGACAGTCATGGATAAAATCAGATGGAAAATGAAAAGGAATGAGGAAAGATATATTAAATAGCCGTAAGGAACAAAGCAGAAAGCGAAGACAAAAAGGACACCTAAGTGGAGCTGTACAAATTATCCCCCATTTAAAACAGCTTCCAAAAATGGGAACAATACGGAGATTAGAGGCACTATGTGTCTTTAACAGAATGTAAATTTTTCAAGACAATGAATTGGAAAAAATATATGCTTGTTTTAATCTACTGTTACATTTTCGCATAATGATGATGCTATCATGGGGTGTGCGATAGACTTACCTCCACGAGGTGCACCCTGGGCAACGTATACTCATACGGCAAAAAAGTCTATTAACCGGCAGTTGACTTCTGACTTCAAAATACCATGGCACGACTGCTTGTCATATTCGACCGCTTCCACAGTACTCATCTTACCTTCTTCTCTGCCTTTGTGTCTGTCTGCCTCTTTTACATCTGTGAATCGCTCTTCTGCTCCCCACCCCTCGACTTTCTGCTACTCCCTCTGTGAAGCCCGAAGTCAATTAAAGGGCTAATGAATGCTATCAAAACGCCTGCCATTTGAAATAAATAAATATATGATGCTATCATGGGGTGTGTGATAGACTCACCTCAACGTGGTCTACCATAGGCAATGTATACTCATGTGGCAAAAAGTCTATTAACTGGTAGTTTACTTCTGACTTCAAGCTACCATCACCCCACTGTATGTCATATTCGCCATCTACCACATTACACACCTCACCTTTTTTCTACCTTCGTCTTTGAAATACTCTTCTGCCCCCTTCTCGACTTTTTTTTCACTTTGATATTCAACCCTTTCTGTGAGGTCTGAAGTCAACTAAAGGGCTATTCATAGCCATCAAAACGCCTGTCATTTGATATAAATAAATGATGCTGCCATTTGCTCCAGATCAGTCAATATACCTAACGATGCTATGATTCAATTAAAAGCTGTCAAAATGTGATTGGTTATTTTTTCAGAAATATATAACAATCACACTCTGGCCAAATGGCAAAGATAATAGTATGAAGCAGTTAATCTGTCTGTAATTATAAAGCCTGCTATAACTGAATAAGATGGTGCAAAGAAAATCAAGTTATTAACATATTAATATATTTTTAAATGAAATATCTCTTATAATATTGCCAACATAATTTAAAAATGTGTATTTGTTTTAATAAGTCAATAGGCAGTAAACGATTTAGTATTTAAGGATCTCTAGCTTTATCATGAAGATGGACAGGAAAATATATATTGGAAATCTTCCTCCAGATGTTCGATCCAAGGATTTGGATTCGGTTTTTTCAAAGTACGGGCGTATTTCGGATATTGACCTGAAGAGGCGTCGTGGACCTCCCTTTGCTTTTATCGAATTCGAAGACGAAAGGTATTTCTTTGTTCTTCTGAATTATTTGTGATTTCAGGGATGCAGAAGATGCTGTACGTGACTGCGATGGTTATAAACTAAACGGCTATGCTCTTCGCGTGGAATTTCCCCGCGCATCAAATAATGGCTTCCGCAGAGGTGGGGCAGCTCCTGGCTTTAGTCGAGGCAGTGGTCCGTCACGTCGATCTGATTATCGCGTCCTCGTAACTAATCTTCCACCATCTGGAAGTTGGCAAGATTTGAAAGACCATATGCGTGAAGCCGGTGATGTTGGTTTTGCTGATGTTTTCAAGGATGGCTCTGGTGTTGTCGAATTCCTTCGATATGAAGATATGAAGTATGCCCTAAAGAAGCTGGATGATTCAAAGTTCCGTTCTCACGAAGTATGTCATTTTTCTAATCTATTTCTTGTGTAGGGAGAAACATCTTATATCCGTGTCCGTGAGGAACGTCAATACTCTCGCTCGAAGTCGAGGTCGAGGTCATATTCATCACCAAGAGACAGAGACCGACGTTATTCTAACAGTCGTTCTCGTTCTAGGTCTTCAAGTGGACGCCGCTAGAGACAGTTATGTTTTGATGACTAGTATCATAGTACTCCTCATTTGGGTTGTATGTTTAACCGAACATTTGGCCTTTTATAAATGTAATCAAATAACCGCATTCATTACCTCTTACTAACATCTTTCTCCATCTCTTTTAAAAGGTCATTTTGGACATGAGGACTCTTGAGGAAATTGCTAGAATCTGGCATTAGGGACTTTGGATTCACACAAGTGAATGAGGAAATGGATAGAAATTCATGAAATCTATACTGGAATCGGTATTCGATACCGATCTTTGGATGGAAGTTTTCAAAATATTCTTTTCTTTGGCGAGGAATTCACAGCATTGTAGGAATCTGAATTAGGAATATTCTTCACGTCCGACATACGCATAAAGCATACAGTTGAATGGAGACAACTCATGGCGTTCATGTTGGATGTCGGATACTAAAGTGCGGATGTTCGTATTTTATTTATGGGAGTGGGAGTTCTTGCAGTCGGCATTCAATGCCTCTATTTTGCGGAAAAATGGAAGGATGGATTACATGGAGTTCATCTTAAAGGACCGACATATTGGAATATCTAACGGATGTTAGCAACTTCGTGGAGTGTTGAGGATCGGAGCGTAAATGCGTTTAGTCAGCTTCACTTTTGGAGGCTTTTATTGTCCATCATGAGCGGATAGGACAGTGATAATCCGTTTAAACGCAGTGGAAATGTGGATGGAAAGATAAAGGGACACATGAACTAACTGTGGAGTAGGATGGAAAGACGGAAGTTTTCATGGATTCAATGGATGAGATTGGTACAGTTTTGTCAGGCCTGTTAGGTGTGAATGAGTATCTTATTTATTTGTACTAGTCGATGCATGCCTTCTCAGAACGGTACTAGCACGTTTATATGTTTTATAAAACTCTAGGATGGGTTAATGCTGATGTGTTCATTTTTTCCCGTTTGGTTGCAGTTTGTTTGTAAACCTGTTGATTAGCAGTGTTATAGGGTCAATTAATTTGTGTTTGTGGCTGAGATGCTTATGGATTTTTATTTTAATATAAATGTTCTCCGTAATAATGCTCTTTTTACTTGTATCCTTTTTGGAGCTGAAAAGTGGGAAGTGAAACTGGGTTTTCCCACGTGTCAGGTATTAAAGTTCGATGAGCATCCCGTAAGATCCTTGAGAAATTCAGGTGGTCTGATCTGAAATGACATTTGAGGGTAATGATTGTCTTTTAAATTCTGGGATGCTACTTTAGATGTGTTTTAAATCGTTGTTCCTGAGGTTTGTCGTTTTTTGATTCTTAAATCAATTCACGAGTAATGCAACGTGTTTTACGGTGTTGCTATTTTCTGGATATGAGTGTTGGGTTTTGCACTTATCGCGGAAAGTCGGTCTTGTCTTTTAATCCCTGAATGTTATACCCTGTACTTGGAATGTGTTTGCTGTGTGTATCATCGGTGTAAAGGTATTTAGCCAAGTGGATTGTCCTCTGCAAAATTGCTCAGAAGCAGTATTCGGAACAGATGATGTCGTGGGTTCCTTTTTTTCTGGCAGACCCTCTCTTTGCCCAAATTTCTCAGGATTAGTCAATTCATGGCTTTATTTCCTGCATTGAACTTAGAGCACAGCTATTTACGAGCTTTTAGTTCCGCTCGTCTATTCTTTATTCTGAGAATTCCTCTCTGTGCGAGAAAGTGCTCATTCGCACCCCCAATGGTAGCTGCCTGCCTACCCCTGGTGTCATTCTTTTCGTTTCTTTGGTCTGAGAGAGAGCGTTACAAACCTGTCAACGTATCTCACCCAGATTGAAAACATCCTTTCTGTGGATAAAAGGCACTTAATTCCGTAGCTTACGAGATGGTTCTTGTAGTAAGAAGAAATCTTTGTTCGAGATTTGGATCAGTTGGCGTCTGGGCGGTTGTGGTGGAAGAACAGACAGAGGTATGGTAATTTATTACCCGCGGAATGAAGCCTGAGAACTTGGTGGTAACAAGTCGTATGATTTGTTTTTGAGCTCCGAATAAATTAGAGTGTCGTAGTTGGTAATAGCTCATCAGTATTTCTCTGTTGCAACTAATTGCAGTCTTGTTTCCGTTAAAGGGCTATGATTCCCTAAAGATATTAGAAATTTTCGGCTGTAAGCTATGCTTAATCACACCAAGTCTAAAGGGACCAATCAACAGCGATAACAGCCACATAATTTCTGTACTTTGTTAGTTGTTCAATGTTTAAGTTAGCTCCATTTGTCCCCCTGACGTATTCAAGGTTATTTGTCTCAACCTAATAAAGAACACTCCAAATATACTTACCAAGTCTACTGTACTTACGTTTTCTATAGAATGAAACAAAGCACATGGGTGACCAATTATATGAATATGGTATAGACTACTCAAATTCGTATAAGACTGATGCAGCTATCACCCAGAGTGCCAACTATTACTAATACTGTAGAGGATTGGTTTGTGTTCTCAAGCATTCCTTGCAATTCTGAACCCCGCGTGAACAGGAAACGCGCTAACTGTTCCTGTGGATGAGATAGGCACACATGCTACACACAGAATGGACTTGCAACCTTGCACATCTTGGTCCTTACTTCGGTCTACCGTATATCGCGCAAAGTTATGGGCATTCCAATTTACTTACTTTAATAGAGTGAATTGATCCAGTATCGTTTTCCATATAATGATAGTGGCCTTAATATGATGCAACTGCCTACATTTTTAATTGTGATATAACACTGAAAATTCCGAAATCAATGGCTACGTGTGCCAAAAGCTGTGAAAAATATCGCGACAATGCCGCACTCTAATGGGAATTGCATTTGCTTCCACGAACGACCTAACTTAGATCTTGCAATAAATTACGAATGGCTATCTAATAGAGCGCTATGAAGGGATCTTAGAAATGACTCACAAGCTATTTTCAGCGAAGCTACATAATTCCAGACTCCTACAGATCGTCCCCATCAAGTTCTAGCTTATGTCTTGGGTCAACCAAAAAATGTTTCAAATTACTGGCCCCTAGGACCGTCCAAAAATAAAGAGCACTAACAAGAAAGACATGTCGTAAAATAATCAAAATAGAAAGTCGAACATTACCCTTAAAACATGAGCGACATTTATGAAAGAAAAACAAACAATAATGAAAAATTTGCATAGAAGAAAAATATTTGAAAAATAATTTTACGGCAACTACACTATACCCATTTATTACAAAACGTTCGCTTTCATATAACAACTATAACCTTGCGAGGAGCAAATAAATGGACAATAACAAAATCTCATAGGGATAAAATGACTTTTATCATTATTTATTGCTACAAATCGAATGAAATCTCATCAAAATACACATGAGAGATGACTAGTGGTACTTAGCATGACGCTCAGTTTGGTGAGCTTTGTAATTGATGATATATTGACAAGCGGCAAAAAAGAAGCCAAGCTGGAAGAATGGCACAAGAGTCGTTCTGCGTGGATAAAGCCACTTAAGACGATAACGCCAGGTGAAACGAGAGAAGGCTTTCATGTAGTCAACGGGATTGCGACTACGAGTTTTGATGTAGGGCCAGAGTTCCCCCATCTTTACATCACCGAGCTGTTTTTCTTTCGGTCCATAGTTATAACCTGGGAAGTAAGCTCCATGAACTCGAGCATTGTATTCCTTTGGAAGCAAACCGAATTCTGGCATAATGATATCAGAGTCGAAGGCGAAAACGCGGAGGCGAAACTGGCAGATAATTCACATAAATGCACTTTACTTATTTAGGTCAATTTTAATTATGAAATATCGTATAAATTTAACATTAAAATCATTTTCGCAGCTTTAATCACGCTTTAGATAATTTATATATGTAAATTTTTATTATATCATAATCACTGTAGACTTTGATTTTCTTTTACAAATATATAAATATACAAAATGATAAATAATTGAAAAAACATTTCTGAAACTCTATTATAGATACCTAACATGACCAAAAAGTGTCGTGAACTTATATTTATGATTTCAACATAATAAGTTTGAACCATATGAAAACATTTTTTCTTTTAGGTTTAAATCTTATTTGCGTAAATCACATTTTATGGCCAGTTGCTTCACGATGTCTGACTTGATATTGCTGATTACTGCGCAAAATTTTTCTGAGGTTAGAATCGTCCTATTTTAATCAAATGAACATGAGATCAAATTCCGTAAATCACTCAAGCTGTATCTGCATTATTCGGTAGACGCAAAAGAAAGTACATTGAACAGAGAATAAGTTCATATAGATGTGATAGAGAACTTCGTATAGCCTAACTGTTTTGTTCTGTTGCACTATCTACTTTCAATTTCCTAATCACTAGCGGTTAAACATAACGGGCATCCAAGTAGGATGTTATGAATTTTGAGCAAACGAACTTACATTTTGTGTGATGCAGGAAATTAGGGAGGTAGAGGAGCGAAGTCCGGGGGTGAGTGTGAGGACCAAGGGCATGTTATAATACAAGCATATTTTAGGGATCATCACAAGATAAAGATGATTAGGGATCGGTAATTGCCCTGCAACGACGGAACCATATTCAGAATCCAGTTCAGTTCAGTAGCTGTGCTTAAGTAACGGAACACGATGTCCGAAAATAATTCGGAAATTATTTATACAGCAATCTCTAATTATATTGAGTAGTATGAAACTTGACTGTCTGTGGTGTTATAGCTAAATCCAGCAAAACTAGCTGTGCACTTTATTGTTTCAAACAATTTAAATTTCTCTATAAATAAGAACCTAACTCTAACCCGATCCTCCTCGTCTCTTTCCATTTGAGAGATGCCTCCCTGATCCATCATACTGATTTGAATTACTGGTATGACTATTTGTATTTCCAAACCACAAAGTTTTCATACATCTTCGACCCAATAATAAGTTTTAGTTCTCTTTATAATATTGTGACTACTTTTGCAGCAACCTCTACACTTCTAAATCACTATATCAGCCTCTATCAGAGATTTTGCAATCAAAACGTAAAAATTCATGCATTATGATTAGTCACAAATCTGGCCAGTACCTGTACAAATGCCTATCCAAATACGAGTTTTAGAATAAACTATGAACATGGTTGAAACGGGGGGGGGGAGGTGGAACACTGATCAATGTTATAGAACCTTTTGCTTTCACTCTCGAGATGAAGGATTTTGACCTTACTGAAAAAATGGCCTCTTTCATACACTCTTTGTATTCTATATTTTCCACATATTAAAATAACTTTGCTAAGTGCTTTTTTTCAGCCGAATTGGTTGAGACTACTGATGTAATCTTTAAGTCATACTTGAGGAAGGAGAGAATACACCACCAACGTCTAATTCCACATCAATAGGAGGCAGGGTTACACAGTATCTCTGGCTTTCCGTCCTTGTCTTTAGGGCTGGACACCGAATCAGGTGGGTCTTCTCCATTTCCTCCTGTAGGTTACATAGGGGGCATGTGGGTTGAGTGTATACTTCTAAACTGTGAAGGTGTTTTGCCAAGCAATCGTGTCCGGTACGTAGTCTAAACTCAGCAACGGCTTCGATTCTTGGCCAGTCAGCTATGTCGGAGAATGCCACTGTCCACTGTTTCACCTTTGTTCGAGCTTTAAGTTCGTTGCACCTTGAGGTCTGCAATTCTCTCCTGATTAAGGCCTTCATTGTGTGGAAAGACATCGGCCTGTCCATGCATTGCAAAATCGTTGTCCCCTTCTTAACAAGTGTGTCAGCAAACTCATTGCCTTTAATGTCACAATGACCAGGAATCCATTGTAGGACCATTGTTTTGTTTTTCTCTCTCAGCAGCTGATAGAGTTTTTTACATTCGTATATCTCAGCTGTTTTGGGTGGCTCTCTGTTTCCAATTGAGTTTATTGCTGACTGTGAGTCCGAAAGCATCACCGCTTTGGTAAATTTCGTATCGTGACAACATAATTGGCTTAGTGCTATCCTAATGGCCTCTATTTCTCCTTCAAAAGCGGATATATTGTGTCTCGCTGCTGCGTAGAAAGAGAAGAGTTCAGAATAGACACCTGCACCAACGTTTGCTTGGTTTTCTATGTATGACCCATCAGTGAAGACTAGGAGCCATTGATCACCAGGTTAGTTGACATTGATTGTCTCAAGGGCCAGTGAGAGCATTTGTTCTGGAGGGGTGTTTGATTTCCTGAAGAAGTCGAGCAGTTGGATGCCACACACTACATCAGTGTCTGCTAATGGGTTCATGGGGAGAGAAAGGCTTTTTGGTTTGTCATCGATTTGTAATTCTTTCTTCAGTTCTATGGCCTTCTGTATTAGACCAGATTGCGTTTTCAGATGTCTTGGTCTATTCTCATAGGTGCTGAAGAACTTGTCCATGGGAATGCGCAATAGCTTCTCATACAGGATCAAGACCTTTTCTTTGATAAGGGAACANATCACTTTGATAGTTGATATTTGAGAGGAATTTGTCGAAGGTAGTCCGTTTAGTTTGTAAGATGGCTTGCCTTAGGACAGCTGACTGCCGTCCTCCAGGCTTGTACGTCTTCCATTCTTCCTGTCTGATCAGCAGTGTTGCGAAGGGCGTCCCTCTTTCTTTTCGGATTCTCAAAGTGTTTAGACCAAAACACTCGATAGTCTTTAGTCTTGCCTCGGGGAATGGTTTTCTTTGCACATCTGATCATAATATTCGTGATATCATTGCAAAGTTTGTTAGGATGTTGGTTGAAATTGAGGGGACTTGTTTGAAGTTCATTCTCTAAAAGGTTTGTGAATCTAGGCCAGTCAGCCTTCTTGAAGTTCCATGATAGCTTAGTTGGTACTTTCCTTGACATGTATTTGCTGCCGATGGTAATACTAGCAATGACTGGTTTGTGGCCAGAACCAGGATCGTCAATTATTTTGCGGCGTGTATGCTCGCTGATGTCGCTTGAAGCCAGGAGCAAGTCAGGAGTTGTTCTGGTTCCATTGTAGTGCAGATATGCAGCCGGATCCTCATTGCTGTAAATAAGTTCCAGAGGGTTGCTGTTTAGCAAGTCTTCGATTTCCTTTCCAGCAATGTTTATATTCTTATAGCCCCATCTGGTGGAATGGGCGTTGAAGTCGCCTAGTACTACAGTTTTGTGTGAGACGTTCAGAAAATCAAAGTTGGGACTATTCTGGGGGTGGAGTATAGACTACATATATCTTGAAGTGGTTTTGACATTTCCAAACATTTAATCTGATTATTTCGCATATGTCTTGCGTTGAGCCCATACTCTTGATTAGATCGTAATGTGATGTGAGGCCTTCTTTTATTCCTGTCAGAATTCCACTTGCAACTTGCCGGTATTTAGGTAGAAGATACAGGGTGCAACCTGGGAATTGGTAGTATTTTAGTTTGTCATCCGAAAGGTTAGTTTCCATAATTGTGAAAATGTCTACATCTTAGGTTTGTATAATTTTCTGGACTTGGATCTTTTCGTCCTGTGACATCCCTCCAGCATTCCACTGAAGTATCTGTAGACGTTGTGATTCGCCATGACGAGGGCGATTTCTCTTATAGCTTCGCCTCAAGCTGAGCATAATAAATAGAGGTCAAAATGCCGAGTGATAGACTTTTTTGCCGTATGAAGATACGTTGTCCAGGGTGCACCACCATTTTGCCGTACAAAGATACGTTGTCCAGGGTGCACCACGTAGTTAGATATAGTAAACGCGAAGAAAACCAAATAGGCTTAAGCATTTTCCAAAATGCACAAAGTCAACTGCAAAAGGCAGGGTCGATGGTGATTTTTATAGGAAAACAATTGAGATAAGAAAGCAACCTTTCAGTCTTAAACGGAACTTGTAGCCCGGTTTGTAAGCAGACGTTACATAAGAGAGGAAATCGATAGAATGGCTGGATCCCATGGCATCAATCATGCGCACAATCGTGAGAAGATGGCAATCAACTGAAAATCGATACGCTAATCACGATAACATAATACATATTAGTAATAAAATCACTATACCTGCTGGATATATTTGAGGGTTGAAGGCAAGAGCTCTATTAAATAAGCTATATCAAATTGCAATAGAGTAAATCTGTGAAATATTATAGATAATAGAGCCATTTAAGCGTTCTTATTTTGATTAGTTATGGCTCTTACTTGACTCTATTTAGTTCACTAGCAAGTGCTTGTCTGCCAGCAAGTTGACATGGACTAGAGCCTGAGATAAATTTATCAGCAATCCTACACTGCTTGAGACAGGAATATCCAATGTGATAAGGTAATTTCCAACTCTCACACCTGTACCCTCTTGTGTTTCTCAGTCCACTTTTATACATTTTTAGCTTATTTTTCTGGTCTTTGAGATATCCTTTAAAGAATTTCTATTCAAACAATATTTCTTACAAATCCAACTACTGTTATAATATAGTCCTTAGACTATTCGTCGAGTTCTTATAAGATTTCACGTCTAATTTGAGCAGGGCACAGTAAACATCCCATATCAACTAAAGCCTAACAGAAATTAATAATTAGAAAACTAAAAGCAGTCTAATGAAGTAAACTTTATTGCATCGAGATAAATACAAAAAGCAAACAAGAAACTTTATGTGAGAAAAGTGGGACCTCATATATGGAAGATTTTCTCGATAAATGATCGGACTCTCTTTAATTTTTCCGTTGATTTATCTACCAACGAATTTGATCGGGTTCTCTGTCTGGGTTTGATTTCTAATTCTT